CTTTGACAAAGTACCCTTCGAACTAGGATAAAGTTCATTCGATAGTTGCGAAAAATATTCTTCACATACGACGAGTTTTACGATGCTCGTGGCCAAAAGACGACGTAAATATTGGTGAGAATCTCTCGATAAATCTTCTTCTATTTTGTTTTTCTTTTTTCCTCGTATGTACATAGATACGTGGAATAAGAAATTCGAAGAATTGCGAAGATTTAGCGCGTTATAATCCGTGTTGTGTACGGATTCTACGTATAACGTACATGATAGCTGTGGGAAAGTAAACACAGAATCGAAATCGTGTTTATTAGTTACGCTATTATCGCTTAGGCACGCGACGAGAAAGCTAGTGTCGTGAGTGTAGCTGAACGGGAAAGAAAATTTCAAGAAGAATATTTCTAAATCAAGCGAGGAAGAAAGGAATCTTTCTCGTTCCCGAAGTTACAGAATCAGAGGAAAACAGAATATTTCCACGTGCTCGAAGATGTGAGTAACAGTAGTTAATAACAGTAGAAATTCCTAAAAGACTCGGTAATTAATTTGAAGTTAACAAGTTAGAGCTTCAATAATTAATACCTTTCTCGTGACGATTCAATCGTTTCATCGTAGATTAACGAGAAAGTAACTTCTTCTCAAATTTCCACCATAATTGAATTATTCGAACAACTCAATTAATTTTCTCCTTAATCAAGATCCTTAAATTTTCTTCCTACGTCCGTGTTATAATTATATAACTGTATACGTAATTCTTTCTGAATCGTTTCTCCCCTATTCTCCCCTCGGCTTACCTCCTCCACTCGCCCCTGCGCCGCAATAACAATTCTTCTCCAATCGGAAAGAAGCACCCCGTAGCGCGAATCGCGGACAAAACGACGATTCCTCCGCCCGGATAATTTGGTGGTCGGTGGTCGGCAATTAAACAATTAAACCCGGTTGCGTATAATTAATTCATGGTCGAGTAGGATAGCACGGTCGGCCGCGGTCGAAACAATGCTTTGCCGATGGTATTTTCCTTGCCTACGCGGATTCTGGCCACGTTCGTGTCCGCACGCGATTCAGGAATTTTCTCCTGGGTGGAATTCGAGTGCATCCGTGGCCCAGCCACGGATGCCCGAAATTCCTTTATACAGGGTTCACACTTGTGAGCTTTCCGTTGCGGTTAACCGCAGACAACCGAAGACTTGGAGAGATTTCGAGAGACACGAGACGATAGAAGGGAATCTGGTTCGAGATGCGGTTTCGTACGAGTTTGCGTACCTGTACGAGAAGCGTGTAGGTCACTGTTCGTGACAGTGATTGACGAATTCGTTGTGTGCGTTCAGATGGAAGTTATAAAGAGTATACTTTTAAAAATTTGTTCCTTTCTTAAATTTGCGGCTTAAAGAGTTGATCAGGATCGCTGTCGCGCTGATTTCGATATCGTTTGCGAATTAGATGCGAGATATTTTGATCTGGTATTAATTATTTTTTGAAATTAATTGTAGTTTGCGAATAAAGTGTTTAAAATTATTGAAAGATTATTATATATAATTTGAAAATGCCGTATATTATAATCGTGCAGAAAGTATAGGTCACTGTTCGTGATTAATAAATTCGAGTGTGCGTTTAGATGGAAGAATGTCGCGCTGATTCCGATATCGTTTGCAAATTAGATGCGAGATATTTTGATCTGGTATTAATTATTTTCTGAAATTAATTGTAGTTTACGAAGAAAGTGTTTAAAATTATTGAAAGATTATTATATATAATTTGAAAATGCCATATATTATAGTCGTGCAGAAAGTATAGGTCACTGTTCGTGACAGTGATTGACGAATTCGTTGTGTGCGTTCAGATGGAAGTTATTTTTAAAAGAATATACTTTTAAAAATTTGTTCCTTTCTTAAATTTGCGGCTTAAAGAGTTGATCAGGATCGCTGTCGCGCTGATTCCGATATCGTTTGCGAATTAGATGCGAGATATTTTGATCTGATATTAATTATTTTCTGAAATTAATTGTAGTTTGCGAAGAAAGTGTTTAAAATTATTGAAAGATTATTATATATAATTTGAAAATGCCGTATATTATAGTCGTGCAGAAAGTATAGGTCACTGTTCGTGATTAATAAATTCGAGTGATGCGAGATATTTTGATCTGATATTAATTATTTTCTGAAATTAATTGTAGTTTACGAGAAAAGTGTTTAAAATTATTGAAAGATTATTATATATAATTTGAAAATGTCGTATATTATAGTGCAGAAAGTATAGGTCATTGTTCGTGATAGTGATTAATAAATTCGAGTGTGCGTTTAGATGGAAGGATGTCGCGCTGATTCCGATATCGTTTGCGAATTAGATGCGAGATATTTTGATCTGGTATTAATTATTTTCTGAAATTAATTGTAGTTTACGAGAAAAGTGTTTAACATTATTGAAAGATTATGATAATTTGAAAATGCCGTATATTATGGTCGTGCAGAAACTATTGGACGTATGGAAGAATTAGTTTTTTGTGTATACAAGATATAGGAATATAAATATTTTTGAGATATTTTTTGTTTCTTAATCCTTAATGTTATCTCTAACGTGACTCACACGTAAACCGTCAATGTTCAATATAGAATTCAATATATATGATTTCTGTACGTGGGGAAGGATAAGCTATTGATGGTGGACTAGCGATAGAATGAATATTTAAATTTGCGGTAGGAATTATAGTTTTTGGTAGATAAATTTAAAAAGAGAGATAGGCGAGGCAAATATTTAAACAATTTTCCGTTTCTAAATATCCAGTTTGGTTTTGTTAACAAACGATATTATACGGGGGAACGATAAATCGGTGACAATGATTAATGAATATTTTGATACGAGAAATTCTGGTGCGACGGAAAATTAAAATTCATGATGACGATACGGTTTACTCGTACGCGTATTTTTATACCAAATGAAATACATGTTTCATCATAAATATTTATAAGATATATATATATATATTTTTTCAATCTCTGCATCTATTGTTTTAATCGATTAAAAAAAAGAAATTAAATCTTTTATACGACCTCGTTTTTTCGATATTTACAAATTATAAAAAATGGTGAAGGGAAGACTACCAATTTGTATCGACGATCGCCTAACATTCATAAAGCAACGAACGAATATTACAAGTGTTGTAAAAACATACGCAGAGAAATATGTGTGATTGATTGATATATGCGATTTAAAAAATCGTGTGAAACACCAAAAACGTTATTATCCCCGATTTAGATAACGATTTAAATGTCATCGATCCCCCAATTATCTTGTACTTGCGAATTGAATCGAAAATCCATAAATTACACACTAGTATAAGCGTAATAATTATTAAAAAAAAATAACCAAACACGGATCGCGCATTTAGATATAATTTTAATCTTGTACAGCGTTTACGGATGAAATTAATCGTATCGATGGAAATCAAAGAACCAAATGTAAGACTCGAGGTAGCGGAAAATCGGAAGGAAAGAAAGTGAGATCGACAACGAGCGTGAAAATGCAGCGAAAAATGTAAATATATCTCGATACGCATGCGTGTTCCCTGTGTGAATTACCATCTTGTCATGTATGAATTATAAAATTTATCCTGACTCGTTCCTGAATCTTCGTTCTTCACGACTCCTTGGTCCACCATGGATGCTTTGTTTCATTTCCTGATTCAATTTTAAGATTAAAATTTTCAGTTCTCGATATTTATTTTATTATGGTATACTTGATACGAAAATTACACTTGAGACTAAAATTTTTAATCCTTAATAGGGTGACACCATTAATTCTCGAGGGACGAAGAGAATTGCGTGGATTCAAATAAGCATCGAATAAAATGAGATAACTGGAAATAGCAAGGAACTGGGCGAAAAGGAGGGAAAATTTTCTTTGGAAAAACCCATTGACTTTCCAATGAATGAAAAATCACATAACGACAGCTTTAATTATCCCCAACGGTCCCTCTCGATTCCAGTTAAATCCAGTGTTATATAATCGCTTTGGAATTAATTTGATCTCGAGGAAAAAAGATTAACAGACGTATTTCATTTATATATATATATATATATATTTACAATTTAATTTTTTAACAGCGAGATAAGAAAAAAAATAAGAACACGACATTTTTGATATTTTTTATTGATATCAAGAATTTTTTCCAACTCGGTAAAAATAAACACTTCCAAAAGTTGTTTTGTTAAAGGAAAAAAAATGATATATAAAATTCATGAATAAATTAAGTAATGCAATAAAATCCTTTATTACGTATTTCCAAGAAACGAGAGAATAGGTCACTCGCAACATCGTGACCTGAATTTTGAATAAACAAGAGGATTTTAGCGGAGGAGATTGGACGAATCTATGCTTTATTATTACAAAAATCGAAAGTTGGATACAGATATGAACAAGGTAAGTCACGAACGAAAAATCATTGAAAGCTGTACAAACTGTGCGATTCGAATTTTTCAATCCCTTTTTTTCGAAGTTTCAAAAAAATATACAAAATTTATTATTCAAACTTCGTATATTTCGAATTAAAAATTTGAAACTAAAAAAGTGAGGCAAGCAAATCGAATCGCATCGACTATAAACAATCGCGAAAAGTGACTTCCTTTAGGAGCGACGAGAAATATCGATCACTTTTATTAAAATTTCATTTTTTTTTTCTCTCCCTTCTCTTTACTTCCTTTCCCCTCTTCCGCAATAAAAACTAACGTAGATATTTCCTTCCAGCCACTTATATTCATGCAAGAGATTATATACTTCATCGGCTTCGTGAAATAGGATTCGCGAAAAATTTCCTCGAAAAAAGGTGGACGTAATTGTTATACACCGTCGATATTCAAATGACAAACAGGAAATAACGTACATCAAGAGAGATATCGATCGGGGAAAGAAGAGAAGCCAATAAGAAAACAAACCATCCCCTTTCGTGCCTATCCTCTGATGTCGATCCTCTGATCGAGAGGAAATTTTTCCTCGTCGAATTAACGTCTCCTTTGTTTCTCGTAGAATTATCAGCAGCGTAATTTAATTACGAATAACCTACGAATTTCACACTATTTCCTCGAATCTTCGTCCGTTCTATTAAATTATGAAATCTAAGCCGATTTCTCGTCGAAAACGAAATGAAAGTTAATCATTCATACGGACGTCGAGGTGAATCGGAAATCGAACCGAAATTCGTCCCTTTATCATTTCGTCGCTCTGTTCCTGCGTTTTTAAGCCCATTTACTGGAGAAAATTCCAGTGCGCGATCGTGAATAACGGTCGGGAGAAAAAGAGGAAGACGGTTCTACTTTTTTAAGATGAGAATCCGCCACGTCTCGCTTCCCGAAAATCCCTGTGGCCTGTGGACAAGATTTCGAGAGATTCTCGCGTTGATTTAAAGAGGCATGTAAAGTGTAAGTTGGGATACTTGCTTCTCTATATACGGTTTATCCTCGTAAAGTTTTTATTGAGGATAAATGTCGTGAAATATAATTCACATGGGCAATATGGAAAACATATTGGAGGAACGACCGCAATTTTTATCAAATTTAGAAACTAAAAGAAAGTTTTAAAAATTATATAAGTATATAAAAAGAAAGAATTTAAAAGTATATTTATTTTTTTCGCATATAATAAGTATTGATCGATAAGATGAGTTGATGAAGTTTTTTTTAAAATTAGTTGTATAAAAGGATTTTACAAAATTCCCAATTTCATCCTCGATTCTAATAAAAAAAAAAAAAAAAACGATTAAAGAGAAAATGAGAATTGAGAATGACGGCAAAGAAAACCGATTTTCGACATTCCTTTATAGGTTATCATAGTGAGTACAAAGTGTGTATAATTAGATAAAACATTCTTTGAAACGTAATTAAGTATTCATAATAATCGCAATCGCGTTATATAATCGCAACAATTTTTAATCCATTTCTTATTTTTCGTTTTACGTTTGGAAAATTTCGATATTTCGCAACGTGGTGGGAAAAGAATTATTAAAAAATATTTTCTTGGCGATAATTAATTTCGTCGCCGACCGACAGGGATCGTTACGCCTCTCCAAATCCATTCATTCCCCTCCATCCCTCTTCAGCGACCCTGTGCTTGCCAGACTTTAATAACTTTAATTACGAAGCCATCTAACTGGCAGTTACCAAATTTCACCATAGGTAGGTAGGAAAGTTCACGCCGTATTCTCATGCCTCTTTATTAAATCGTGAAGCTTTGGCTTCCATTTCGAGGAGTGAAAAAATTAGTCGAATGATTAAAGAGAAATGAGATTATTGGGTCGATAAGAAATTTGAAGATGAGGAATATTTGAAGATTTAGAGAAAATTTTTGTTGAAAATTATTTTTTTAAACGATATCCGAGTATACTAGCAGTATCTAAAAATATCTCTAAAAGTAAAAAAAAAAAGAAGATCATGTTGATAAATTAAATACCTCTCACAGCTTTTCCTCTACGATACACTACTCCTCTTTTTTACAATTTCCCTAAAAACGTGCAATATTCTTTCCTAAAAAATTGCAATATTCTTTTCTATATCGAACAATGTTCATTTGCAAATAAATGAATCCCAACGATTTTAATTTAGCTCCAATCTCGATTAACGCGAAATCTGCCCTCAATCTCGGCTCGATGTCTATCCAATCTACCCCTTCCTACTCCGACAATTTTTCTCAACTTCAACAACGAGGCAATTTTCTAATTACCGACTAATGCCATCTCCTTCTTAGCTAGGAACAGAAAAATCTTATTAACGCTAAGTAACTTTTTAACACCGTTATCCGTCCAATTATTATTAGAGCAAGGTTTTAGCCGAGAAAAAAAAACGAAATTCGGGGGAATGGGGAGGGAGACCGTGGTTTAACAATGACGCGTAATCAAATTCGCCGTAAGATAAAATGGAAATCGAGGGAAATCGTTCGAATGCGTCGAATCAATGGGAGGTGTCGAGTTTGTTGCAAAGATCGGTAAGTTTCCAACTTATTTGCATAATGACGGGATAATATCGAGGAGCCGTGTTAACATATGAAAGCGCGCGAACGAGCAAAGGAAACTGTTACCTTTCCTTCCTTGTTGTTTGAAAATTCATTCGATCCCTGTTGAATGAATTATCGTGGAATAATCGATACCAATTTCCTTGCCACTTAATTAATAATTTAATCGAAAGCGTGAATAGAATTTCTTAAGCGGTGGAATACATTTACAATTTTGCATGATTCATGAATCCTATAATCGAAAAATTTTTTTCGATTATTATCATTCTTGAAACTGTGTATTAAAAATAAATTATTTAAAAAACTATTGTTGTTATTGTCGTTGCTGCTGCTCGAGAAAATTGAAACGCTTGCTATTTTCCTCAAACTTTACGATCTTATGAATTCTATTTATGAATATACAACTTTACGTTTTATTTTTTTGTTATTCGATATACAACGTGAACGTATCTTCAGTTATTCCGATTGAAAGTGAAAAACGTGATAGTTAAAACGAATCAAAATATTATATCCACACAATGTCCAGAACGTAAATAGAAATAGAATTTTATATTCTGGACACATGAACGTGATTCGCATTTTTACGAAGAAACAAAAATGGAATTTTTTAACATTTCCATTTTCCACTCGCCAATTTTCAATTTAACAAGTAATTCAATCGATCCTCGACGCGCGTCTCGTTGTTCATCCGTGAAAAATTTTTTTAAAACGAAAAGCAAGTGTCCTAATACTTTTGACAATGTTCAACACCGATGCACAGATTGAAATGTCGTAACGAAGTCGTACCTCTTAAGGCAAGAGGCGGGAATTACGTTGTTCGCAATGCAACGGCGCAAATTGACATACTCGTCGAATATGGTTAACGGTATGAATGCGATTCACGTATCGGTAAACGCATTGACCAGTTTCTAGCGGCGACGCATGCATCTTCGCGCACGCATATCGCCGCGTAATCTGGCGTCATTAGGCGTCGCGACGTGACGACACTTCTCCCCGTGGCTCGTGGTTTTCATTCCAGAGCAGAAAAGCATCGGTCGACAGCACTCGGGCCTCCGACATTCGACATCGAGGACGCGGCGTGAATTCGAATTCGACGTCCAATTTCTCCTCGATGCGGATTGGATTGGATGTGTCGACTCACGTAGTCGATAGTTTCGAATCGATCAAGTCTCAAGAGTTGATTGAGAGAAATAACGCGTTAACGATCTTGACGAATTTGCGCCTTTCCTTTGTGGATGGATTGGATAAGATTTGGAAGAAATAAATTTACTGTATTGCTTACGGTAGAATTCTCCATTTCCGAGCGCAATGCATTGAAACTGAATCTGTGAAAATTTAAAGCTTATTAAATTTATTTTCGGTCGAGAACGCATAATAACTTTGACGTGATGCATTATACGAGATACTAATTTAAAAAGTTGAAAGGGGATATTCGTATATTTATTCGAATTAACAACGAGCTATATTTTATGCCACGGTGTGCAAATTCCCTCTTACGTAATAATAAACGTAGGATGAAACGTCTCTTTATTCTCGACAACTTCGTACAACGATGAAACGATGTTTAATAGAGAAATTGATCTCTGCTGAACTAGATACTGGAAAATCTTGAAGGTCTTCTTCTTCCCCGCAATTATTTTCTTATACGTGTTTTTTTTTTCTTTCTTTCTGCTTCATGAAATTTCACATCAATGCCTCGGGCGTATAAAGAAAACGACGAAAATAAAATTATCGACTGTACCCACTTGCATTTTTCTTCGTTGAAAACGAACGATCCTTCGCCTTTTATTACCGCGGATTCTTATTAAAGAATCGCGTCAAAATTTTGAAGGGGAAATCACAGGAAATATATTATACGTCGCTACACGACGAGGCCCGCTAAATTTAAACATATAAAGATACACGGTCCACGTGTGTGGAGGTAAGGGGAGAGGTAAGCGGCTCGTAAAAGCGAGAAAGTAATGGGCCATAAAAGCGGGAGAGCTTTTAAAAAAATCTGTGCAACTTATTCATATTAATTTTTTACGACGCAAATTCCTTTCGGGTATACAATAAGAGCGGGACATCGTAAAGAAACGAAACACGCCGAGGGGGTCAAGTTTCCCCGGCGTGGCTCGATTAAACTTTCTCCCTCGGGCCAGAGGAAAAACGGGCCATATTAAACGAACGATATTGCCCGATCCAGGAAATCGAGTGGCGGTAAAAAAATCGAGGATAACGTTGCTTCAACGAAAGAAGAAAGAGCAAAATAGGAAAATAGGAAAATTCATACGCGGCCGCATCCATTTTCCTTTCCTGTTTTCGAGAAGGGAACGGCATGGATTTCCATTCTTGAACGAACGAATTCTATTTTCCAGACTTGCCCTGGAGAAAAAATGACGTCGATAAAAATAAAAAATTCGTTCCCTGTCCCCCTATCCCTCAACCCCTTTCTTCGTTCCCTTCCTTCTTTCGTCTATCCGAAAAACCGGCCTCTGCTGCTTTTCCACGAAAGAGGTGGCGTGCAAGAGGGGAGGGGAGGGAGTGGTGTTGGAATTCGGTTGAGAGCGGCGCGAAACAGGGCAAATCGGATGGCGCGATGCAAAAAAGAGTTAATGAGGGCTCGTAGGTAAGGCGAGGTAAGGCTCAGCTCCTTCTTGGCAAGAGGGAGCTTCTTCGCGGTTGAAGAGGGGTCACGATCGCTTTTTCGTCAAGCCAAGAATGTTTCGAGGGTTGGATACGAGTATTGATTTCCAATTACCCGCCGCACCGCTCTGTTCCATCACGAGGAGGCGGCGTGTAGGGAGGGAGGGTGTAGACGGAAGAGGGTTAGGATCGAAAAGGGAAAGAAGGTATGCATAATTAATTAACGCGCCTCGCCTAGACCCTGCTAATTTGCCACGACCGCCACCCGTTCTTAATTGCAGGGTGGTTTCGTTCAACCCCTGGCCCGTGATAAGAATTTCTCCTTGGTTGGGAAAAAGAAAGTGGTTTCGATCGGGGGAGCATTAGAATTCCTTGATCCGTTTAAACAGATCGTTCTCTTTTTTTCGGAGGAATTCTAATTTTGGCGAGGAAATTTTAGAAAGGTATGGATGGTTAGGGATGAAAGTGGTGCTTTTTCTTTTTTCTTTTTTTTACTGGCTTGTAAAGTGTTTTCGAAAGACGAGACAAACGAAGAGAGAGAGAGAAAGAGAGAAAGAGGGAACTTGGAAGAAACTGCATCGAAGAGAAGTAGGACGGTGGGCAATGATGATTTTTCATTCCACGAGACATAGTGAACTGTCTCTGTAATCCTCTGAAAGGGTTATTTATCGTGCAAACGCATTTGCATTCCCTTTCTTTTCTATCTTCTTCTTCTATTAAACACGAAAATTAATTTCATGTTTTTTAGATTTAATTCTTTTTTATTTAAAATTTTTGTTTCTTTATAATTTTTTTGGAGATTTTTTTGTAATGATCTAATGGAACTAATTTTTTTAAATTGACTTGATCGGTTTCGCGAAAAGAATTCTATTTTTCTATACATGCTTATCCTTAGAAGTCGGTGTTTCTGCTTTTTCTCTGATTATATTTGTTTCGATTCTGTTTCTGCATTGAACAATAAGCGATCGAATCGATATAAAAAAAAAAGACAGAAAATTCTCATTCGCATAGCAGTCGAGTATTATTTATCTTTTCATTAAACTAACACTAATATAATCGAAGAAAATTGAATTTTTCAAAATTTTTCATAAAATATTCACAGAAGAATACGATTAATTATCTATCGTATCTCAAGAGTGTTTCGATCGATTTGAGAAAGTCGGAAGGATTAAAATGATTAAGATTAAAAAAGAAATAATTACAAGTTGTCATTGTAATTAATTTTTCTAGTGCGTTCTATTTTTATCCATTGTAAATTTTATTTGATTTAACGTTATTTTTTTCCATCCTATTTTTTAACACTTTCTTCATCAGATTCGGGTTACAAGTGGAGTTGAACGTTCGACATTGAACTAGTGGCGCCATCTTTCTCCCGTCTCTTAAACATTCTTCTATCATCAAATTTATTATTAAACAAAATTTGTTTCATCAATATTTTTCTTTTTTATTTCTTTTTTTCCAAAAATTGATATTTTATCAATTTTTTATGCAATTTCCATTGTACATATCCATCTAATATCAATACAATGAATAATCAATTCTAAGAATTTGCAGATCAATGTGACAAATTTCAAAATATTTTCAATATTGTTATATCAAAAACTTCACAAATATCTCTCTATTATATATTCACAATTTTTATTCGTTTTTAACAATTGAATAATCGTTCATAATCGATCAAAAGGAATTGATTTCTTTGAAACGAAATATCTGACGAAAAATCGATTAAATAGAACGTTCATTGACTAACATAGTTTTTGAACGATTTACTTATCGAATATCGTTTCTACGAATTAATCTTTACCAATCACTAATTGTAAATCGTTTGCAAATAGTATTACCAGTAGTCGGTAGGGTTGTCGCTAAATTACAGTATAAAGCACATCGATCTATCCTTTGTGGTCGAGATCCGTTCGTTCGACTTGGCCTGAAACAGCATAATGTTCAGTTAGCTTGAAATAATCGAGTTTCCAACGAACAAGAGATTAAATATTGCCAAGTTGTATCGAAATTCGAATCGAATCCTTCTTCTTTCCACCTCTTTCATCATACCTGACGTTAATTAGAATTGAGATAATCATTGAGAATAATTGGCAAATACCTATTTGCCATAATTGCTATAAATTTTAATTACGCCATCGATTAACGATATTTCTAAAATTTCGATTCGAATTTATATCGATATAACTTCGAGTTTCGTGTTAAATTTAAAAAAAAAAAAAAGAGAAGATAAGATCCTTCTCCAAAGCTTGATCAAAAAAAGTTCAACCTCTTTATGCAAATTCGTTCTTTCATTTTTCTTTCACGATTAAAGAAACCTAAAAAAGAGAAATTTGCCTTCGTACGTGTAAATATTTATAAAAAGCATCTCACTTACGATATCTCCTGCACATCCTTTCCACATCTTTCACATTCCATAATAAAAATAATTCTCGTCACGTCGCTAACTCGCGTCAATCTTCCTAACCATTCATCGTTTCGATATCTCGTTTATCTCGAAAAGAAGAAAGATAAATAAACTAAATTGAAGACAATAAACGAGAAGAAAGAAATTTTAATCAATCCGTGTATCTCTCGTACCGAGAGCGAAGCATTTTCATCGCGAGAAGGGGAGGAGGAGGAAAAAAAAAGAAAAAAAGAAAGAACTCTGCTGTCCAAACTCGTACACGGGCGAAAGTTTCGTCTAGCCGTTACGCAGCCGCTCCTTCTTATTAAATAACTTTTGAAACTAAGCGAGGCCCTGATACACAATCGCGGCGCAAGGCTCGAGGCGTTTTTATTCGCGTGGAGCACACGACGAGCACAAGACACGGAGGGCATTACGTACGTGAGATGGAAGGAAACAGGAGGCGAGAGGTAGCGCGAAATTGCCAGGTTATTACTACCCGGGCCGCAAACTTATTATCAATATACCTCCATAATTCACGCGGGATGGCGTTTATGAAGACCCTGGGCAGGTTACAATTATCCGGATGAAATATTGACAGCGCGACATCGAGATCCATCGAAAACCGGAGCCGACGAAATTTTGCTCGAGACCCGGTGGGAGCAACAGGTGTCACCCGTGCACACCTTTAATAGGTCTTTTCGATGCCTTCGACCGCGTCGAATAATTTCGTTCCCTCTTACAAAGCCGTTTCACCGTCGCCCAGACACACTTTCGATATACTCCTTATATAGATCTTTCTTTCGGGTAATTCTATTTTCGAGAACGAAGAATTTCTCTCACGGATAGATCGAGAAATTTTTAAAAACAATTCCTCTCAACAACCAGGAACATAATAATTATTCTGTTTTTGTTACAGTAATATAATGGATTGTATATAAGAGCAATTAAAAAAAGATTATTTCATTGTAATAATATTTGTGAGACGGAACAAAACAAATTGCAAAGATTTATTTATATTTCTCTCATCTATAAAAATAGATGAATTTCCTTGTAACATAGCATAACGAAGAATTTTATGACTAACGAATAGTTTCGCCGTGTTTCTCCAAATATACTCTCTCGTTTCATAAAAGCAAGAATTGCACTTCTCTCGAATTTTCTTATCAACATCTTAATGCCGCGAGAAAAATATACAAACTTATTAAAAACGTATTATTTCAGAATTAAACCGATGTTTCTTCTGAATAGATTAAAATTTGTCAAGTATCTACAACGAGGGAATCCCCTCTACAATCCATTTTCGCGACGAATACATCATAAATGTCGAACTTCCTCCACGATTTATCGAAATGGAAAATAATCAAAATCTATGAACGAAATATTATTAAGCGAAGCGAGTGGTAGGATCCAGTCGCGTGGTGCAAACCGCGATAATAAAAATGATGATTGGCCGTTGGCCAAGAGGTGGAGGAGTACGGTTGCAAACGTCGAGAAAGTATCGGTAAAAAGGGCAGAACCTTACGATGGTCACGTACTCGCCGCGATTTCTTTTATTTCTGCCCGTCGAGATGCAGGGACGTATCGCGGTGATCGCGAGCGTAATTTATGTTCAAAATGGCCGGACATGCACGCTCGCCACGGATAATCGGTGTAATTACGATCGATCCGAAACAGAGCCGATACACGGTTGCGTGCATTAACGCGTGCAACGAAAATTAACGCCCGGTACTTTTTTTACGTGAGAACGATCCTCCTCACCCTCTCTCTCTCTCTCTCTCTCTCTCTCTCTCTCTCTCTCTCTCTCTCTCTCT